TTGTCCCATTCCTCTTTCACCACCTAATGATGCTAAGAGGCATCTGCAGTGACCTAATGAGCGACTGTAGAGCCATAGCATGGTCATTTTTCTTTCTGAGGTACAGGGGAAAAAAATGTAATGAAAAGGTCTGGCTCGCTAGGTGACTTCCACCTACCCAGCATCAAACCTGATGGAGAAAAAGCATAAGGAACACACAGACACAAAGAGGAATAAGGCCAGGTACAATTTTTTTTTGCTTTTGCACATGCTCCCACACATGCTGCTCTCCAAAGCAGATATTAGTTCATATGACAAAAAGGATGTTTCTCCTTCAAGTCTATATGCTCCTGGAATTTCACTGGCAGTGCTAGCTGCACTACAGCACTATGCTCAAGGCATCATGCTGCCCTTGGATAAGCCAACCAGGGCAGGACTAGATCTCACGCTTGCTGCAATGGGAGTTTGCAGGAAGAATGGAACAAAAACCCCTTGGGAATCAAGGAAAGGTCAGGTTCCAAATCACTTTGGGTCTGCCCAATGCTGGCTAATGGTTTTCGTCACCCAGACCCAAACTGCTTCTTCCCAATACGTGCATCCTGAAGCATTCCCCAACCCCAGTGCCATCATTTGCTACCCCAGTCCACAATCCATTCCCATCATCTGGTAGGGAAACAGTAATCTTATTCTTGCCTGTACTGCCTCACCTTATAACAAGAAGGCAGAATCAATACAGCTCCAAAGGTGCTATTCATAAAACAAGTCTTCAGTGAACACAAATTAAAAGCATCAAACCTGCTGGGTCATTCATGCCTTCTAGGGATTTTGGAATTTTGTCCAAAATTTTCAGACAAAAGTTTCAAAGAGAAGAAATTGAAAAAAAATATTTTGACTGTCGTGTTAAAAAAAAAAGTCAAAAATATGTAGTGAGATTTTGTTTCAACTTTGCTATTTCATTTCCCTTTGTTTCAGTGTTTTCTTTTATTGAAATATTGACTTTAATATGCTTTTCCTATTTAATGTTTTAGCTAGCATGTTTTTTAATATTGTAATGCAGCATAAAAGTCTTAAGTTCATGAGAGCAGAATTTGACCTGAGCTCTGGCCAGTTCCCTTTTATTACATGAATTTAAGCATGCAGGTGCTCTTTATTAGTGCTCTGACACTTCAGCAACTAGTATTTTAAGAATACAGTCATAAATTAAACATAGACATGCCTGTGTGAGTTTGCTACCTCATTCACTCTTCAGTTTAGGGAACAAAGAAAATTTATTGCAATATCAGTCATTGCAATAAATGCTTAGGGACATTTAATTCTTGGTCCTAGTCACCAACCTGGATTTCAGGATACTAAGTACCATATGCAAGGGTTCAGTATCTTCTGAGGCCAGTGGCTCCTAATACTAGTATCACTATCAATCCTCCTCCAAGGTATTTCATTTAACAGGAAGCTTTAATGACTACTGGGTAGAGTGGAGACTTGGCAAGCAGCAAGCACAGATCATGCTTTCTTGCCCATTTTTGGATGTGCAATTAAGACCCAGTGTTAAGTCATAAATCTCCCACTGTGCTGTGGTGACTAGATGCTTCATTGAATAACATGGTCCATCTCTTCACCAGTTAGCTCTTGGCAAAGAAGCAGATTTTTTTTGCTCAGATCATTATATGTTTAATTAGTTATTTTTTCTGGAATCCCAAATTCATGATGCATCTGAGCAAACATTACACCCTGAGCCATTAGAAACAACATTCATGAGACTGTCTTCAGCTGAAATACTGGAACTGAGAACTTGCATTCATTACCCATTCTAGTTGCCGTTACCTGGATGCAGCAATCTTAGATGTGGGACCATATCACCCAACCACCCACAACCCTGCCAGCTTTTCCAGCTGAAGAATAGACAAGCCACCCCAGTGTTGCTTAGACTGCAGGCTCTTTGGGTCTGAGACTTTATTTCTGTTTGCCCTTTGTAGCCATTACACTGATGAATCACTTCTTTAACAATTTACCACTCCCACGTAGGGTTATTCTCTATCTAACCTAACGACTGACCTTATGTCATCTCCTACTCTGTGGAGGTTCAGCGTTGTGTTTTATGGGATTGTCCTACTCCATGCTGAGTGTTTCAGATGCAAGGCTATATATCAGAGCCCTCAACAGACATTAATTAAGCCTCACAACATCCACATGAAGCCTGAATACAAATCTGGATCTGAACTACCTTGGACTTTGATTCTGATGGCAGTTTTTGAGCTGGCTCCTGTCTCTGTAAGGGACTAAATCAAATCCTGCTTTCAAAAAACCTCCCAGCTTTGACTTGCTAGAGAATGACTTCATTGAGATGAATCTTGGAGGCTTCAGTCTACACCATGCATTGCTGTCTCCATTGTACAAATGGGTCAACTGAGGCACTAAGGGTGTGTCCAGATGAGTGCACACGTTTCTCCAGGGACAAATAGCAGCGGCACATAGTTGTGCCACTGCTACTTGTCCCTGGGCAATGTCCCTGCACTCGTGCTCTGGTGCATGGCAAATTGCCCCAGGTGGGGCCAGCACCTGGGTTAGCCCCAGCAGCCTTACCTGGGGCCCTGCAGTGGCAGCAGTCCAGGTGAACAGAGCCTCACCGGCAGCTAGAGCATGGCTCTGGCCAGCCAGGCTGGGCAGCACATGCTGCAGCCATATGTACCATCCTGTTTTTTTTTTTTTTTTTTTTTTTGTTTTTTTTTTTTTTTGTTTTTTTTTTTTTTGCAGATACCGGGATTTCCTGGTATCTAATTTTGACTCTTTGCTGCAAATGTGCAGCACAGAGACCCTTTGCACATGTACTACGTGCATTTTGCAGCACCTCAAAAGCCTTTAAGGTGCCACAAAGCACGTGTGTGCTCGTCTGAATGTGCCCTCAGACTGCAAAAAGGCAGAAGTGCCTGTGGATTTTGAGTGCACATCTAGAAACACTCTGGCCCTCATTTTCAGATATGACAGCTGTGCTTGTCATTGAAAATGGTGGCTTTGGAGGTCATGGACATGCAGTGAATAAGAACCTGAGCTGAAGGTTAAATGCAAGTAATTCTAGTTACTAGGAGAATAGAATAACTACCACACCTTTTTGTCCCTCCTCCGGCCCGACCCAAAGTAAGAGGAGCTAGTGGTGAAGGCTTCTTCCCCACTGCCTGGCTCTTCAGCAATCTTTTCTCTACTCTAGGACTTCACAAGCCATCTGTGCTGTCTTCATCTCTAGTGAGTATTGAGCAGCTTTGTCCTTCAGGTGGGAAAAATGAGAAACTCAGCTGCCTCACAGTGCCTGTCTCACTGCACCATTCAAATAGTGAGGGCTACTTCCCCCAGGCTGTCCTGCCACATTATCCCTCTTTCCAAATGCCGTGCCTCCCCTTTGCAACAGTGTAAACTGGGAGTAAGTCTATATAATCTGGCTGCTGCACATGAGAGCAGAATGATACCCACTGTCGGAGCAGTCTCCACACCCAGTTATTCACCCAGAACCAGACCTTTACCAGCTCACGCAGTCAGCTGTCAATATTAGCACACAGCACCTCCCCTTCTGAATTACACATGTGAATCAGACCTGGGAAAAGGAGCTTGGTTAGCTCTGGAGATTAAGGCAGATATAGAATCATAGAAAATTTGAGTTGGAAGGGACCTCAGTAGTTCACATCTAATCCAACCCCCTAATCAAAGCAGGGCCATCCCCAATTAGATCATTCCAGCCAGGGTTTTGTCACACTGAGCCTTAAAAACCTCCAAGGATGGAGATTTCACCACCTTTCGGGGTAATCTGTTTCAGTGCTTTATCACCCTCCTAGTAATAAAATTTTTCATAATATCCAACCTAAACCTTCCTTGCTGCAACTTGAGTCCATTGCTTCTTGTTTTGTCATCTACCATCACTGAGAAGAGTATATATATTCTGTTCAAAGCATCAGGGTGAGTCCTACTAAGATTGGGACAGTAGATTTAGCCTGTCAGGTTTATTTCACCTTCTCTGGTGACATATAGCCTGAACTAGCCTGTGTCCTCAAGGCATCTTACATGCCTTCATTCATGGATATGATTGGGAATTGGGGGCCTATACAGCTTTGAAGATCTGGGACAGTGCTTCTGAATGGCTCAGACCCCCTGGATAATGCCATTCTTCAATTAAATCTTCTGCCACTGAGGATTTATTCAGTCCTTTGAAACAGGGCTGTTCACTACAGCAAGGAGCATAATGTTGCTCCCCTCCATGGAACAGAAGCCAGAAACAGAAAAGGTCCAGCTCACACAGAGGGATAAAAGGATGCCAGGCTTAACACTTCTGGGGTGAGAATGATAATGTTATGAGAAGCAGAGATCGATTTTCTTTCTGGAGAGCTCCTTATTCCAATTGACTCAATGTAGGTTCCCATCAGACACTGAAATACTTGATTGATTGCTCGCTAGGGCAGAAAGCACTTTATTTGTAGGGAATGTTAGATGCGATAATAGGGTGTTTCTTCAGCCAGTAACATGATGGCATGAGGCAGCAACAGGTGTAGAAATAGCCCAGACACGCACGTTTCACTGCTTAGCAAATCAAATCTCAGGAGGATGCCATAACAAAACAAGACATGAGGATGTCTAAAGACTGCCTGCCGTGGAGGCTTGGAAATGAATAGACTGTGCAAAAAGAAGTGGTTTGAAGAGAAGGGGGTATTTCATGACTCCTTTCAGAGCTAAGGGATCTTTTGTGCTTGGTGCTGCTCGAGTTTGGTGAAAAGGTAGTCCCTACTCCAGCCATGTTGTGGCTGAGATTTTCAAAGAGGCATTTAATTTCACCCGAAATTGGGTTTATAATTCACCTTGGCCTCTCTGAAAATCCCAGTCTTCATTCTTAGCTGTATGAAAAGATACTACAAGTGCAGGAAACGTGAATGGGCAGGTGAAACTAGACCTAAGCATTTTTCAGTTTTCTTTGCCAGGGAATTAAATGCTTAAACTTGAAATCCAGTCTGATTTTCAGCTGCCTTCCATGTGACAACTTCCAGGTATCACTTCTGCGTGACTGTGCTGATCTACTTCCTGCCACTTCTGGTCATCGGATTTGCCTACACAGTGGTTGGCATCACCCTCTGGGCTAGTGAGATACCAGGCGATTCTTCTGACCGCTACCACGAGCAAGTGACAGCTAAACGGAAGGTAAGCAGCCTTCTTCTGCTGTAGGAGGGAGCTATATTGGGGAGCAGACACAGAGCAATTCAGCCTGAATGAACTCTGGGTGACCAGCTATTCAGAGAACAATTCTTCAAACAGAACAGAACCTGATTGCTTTTCAAAAGTAGCCAGAGTTTGATTTCTTGGGAGTGCAGTTGGATACACCACCAGGGTCCTGATTTTCAAAAGCAGCAAGACTTTTGAAAAATCAGCACTTCAGACAGATCAGGCCAAGAAAAGAGAAACAGGAAGCCCAAAACACTCAGGAGGGAAGGGAATTTTTAAACAGGTTGGCATTTTTTTAAGTTTGTTGGTGAGACTGGACACCTCAGATAATCACAAATGGGGCTACTCAAATATAAAGCTATAACTTCCAATCCAGCCCTCATGGCCAAAAGGTGTTAATACTGGTTGGCAGAGGGTGGTGGGGTGTTAACTTACTTTGGTTCTGTCTAGTTCCTACCAGAAAGCAGTACAAAACCTGTGTGAGCAAGGACTGGGATCCCTTAGTGACAGTCACCATAGAAAGACCAAGGTTAAATGGAGCAGGCAGCAATGACTTACTCCTAGAAGTAGCCTTTCCAGGGCAGGGTTGAATGCTGTGGCTAGGTACAGACAGTCAAAAAGCCTGAGGCTGAATCAATTCGATCTTCGTAGGTTAATTTAAGCTGCACAGATTGAACCAATAAGCAAGTGAACAGTCATTCACTTTTGATTCCAGAAACGCAGCCACATGCCAGCAGTGGCCCAGGCCAGAAGTTGGGGGGCCCTAGAGCACACCTCCCTGCTCAGCTGGAGTAGACAGCTAGGGCCAAGTCTAGCCTGCCCACCCTGAAAGGTGGGGTTTTCAGGGGAGGTGCAAAACATCCTGCGATGCTGTGGCACTAAGGTAACTTGAATCTGGAGGGGATCTGGGACAGAAGTTCAATAAACCTAAATCAGTTAAGTCTGATACTACATCCATCCAGGTTTATCTTAAACCAGTTGCAGCCATTTTGAAAGCTTATACTGGTTTGTGTGTAATTTCTATCCCTAACCAAAAGGGCTACAAACAGATTTTGCACATGTCCCAGGGTAAACCATTTTATCCCAGAGCAAAGTGCTATCATTGAGACATCCATATCCATTGTCCCACGATAAATCCTAAAAAAGTTTATGCATCTACATCTACTTTATGTGCTTAAAAGGATATAAATTACCAAGAAGTCAACCTCATGGGTGACTGGTACCGCCTTAGTCAGGAGGGGCATGTGCCCCCCCGTGAGCAGTCCTGCTGACCAGGGGGAGTCCCCCTATGGCCAATGCTGCTGACCAGGGGAAGGGGTCCCCCCGTGGCTGATCTCACTGCCGGGGGGGACCCCTGCAGCCAATCCTGTGATGGCCGATCGCTGCAGCCACTTCTGGGAGCAGCTGCAGCGATCAGCTGTGCTTGCAGGGGGGGCATTGACACTCCTGCCTACTCCCTGCCCATCACCTAAGCAATGAGCGCAGCTGGTCAGGGGGTGCACCAGCACTCTCAGGGGATGCATGTGTACCCCCTACGTGTTGCCACTGCCCTACCTTCTCCTGTATTCACCCACACAGGTTTCTTTTCCAGTACATATGTTTTCCCCCCAAACTCACAAGGAATTTGGAGGCTGATTTAATGACCTTTCATCCTTCCACAGGTGGTGAAGATGATGATCATTGTGGTGTGCACCTTTGCGATCTGTTGGCTCCCCTACCACGTCTACTTCCTTCTGCAGTATTTTAACCCCCACTGGTACATGCAAACATTTATACAGCAGGTCTACTTAGCAATTATGTGGCTGGCCATGAGCTCGACCATGTACAACCCCATTATCTACTGCTGCCTTAATGACAGGTGAGTTTTGATCATCGTTCCCCAGCAGCTGTGTTTCAGAGCACAACACAGAGGTGATGGATGGCTGGGATGTGGCTGGGAAGAAGTGGAAAGGCAGGTTAGTTACAGCAGGTGCAGCTTAGGGTGGAAGCAACAGCTCAAGGGTAGCAGTTGAGAACACTACTGAAGGCATCTGGGTTTTTCTGCAGAGTGTGCATTAAACTAGGAACTCTGCTCCAACCCAGCTCTTGCCAGCTATAGATTTCAAGTACTATTCAGAAGAAAGGAAGCCTTGCCATTCTCATTTTATGGAAGAGGGAGCTGATGGGCAGGGGGAGAAGTGACTTGACTGAAGTCATGCAGCAAGTTGGTAGCAGGGCTGGGAGCAGAGTTCTGCTTCACAGTCTAGCAGCTGGAACACATGACCATGGTGGTGTGGCAGGTCAGCCTGAAACATCATCTTTGTTCGCACATTGGTGTCCTTCCCCCTGCACTGATTCTGCTCTACCCCACCCAGGTTCCGCGTCGGCTTCAAGCACGCTTTCCGGTGGTGCCCTTTCATCAGTAGCAGTGAATACGAGGGGCTGGAAATGAAGTCTGCCAAGTACCTCCAGACCCAGAGCAGCATGTACAAAGTCAGTCGCATGGAGACCACCGTGTCCTCGGTCATTGGCAACACTGAGGAGGAATTTGAAGACAGCAACAAAGGGAAGCGCCTCTCTGTGGACATGACGTCCAACGGCTCCTCCTGCAGTGACTCTAAGACAGTCTCCGAGAGCCTGAGCTTCTATTCCAACACCCTTTCCTAAAGCTGCCACCTAGCCAAGCCACAGCTACAACACCCAGCCTCCTACCATGCCCCCTGGCCTCCATTCAATGTGTATCCAGGTGCCCTCACATCTGCCTCTTCCTGCCCAAGATGCTGCAGCTTTGTCGTGACAGTCGCTGCTGCTCATCCCTTCTGTCTGACAAAATGTGACAACCCCTCTGCCCTTTTGTGGTATTGTGAAGGTGTTTGCTGTACTTGATGCTTCACTAATGACACTGAGTGAATATGACTTCTCATTTATGGTTCAGCATGACAGAAGAGCAGGGAAAAGGAAGGCCAAACCTATTAGAAAGTTGTTCTAGAATCGTTGTTCCTGGTCCTGCTATGCCCTTGAATGTGAAATGCAGTGTTGGCATTTCCCCAGCCTCTTCCCATCTTTGTTGATGAACCTACCTACTCCCATGCTCTGTGCTGGAAGCTCAGGAATAAGACGGAGGAACGATATCAAGAAGGCACAGTCCGGCAGGCTGTAATTCAAGAGTAAATGCAAAGTTAGCATCCATCTCCTTGCTTACCAAGCAGATGTTGCAGCAAGGTTCCTCTCCTGCATGTGCTCTCTCATGCCCAAAGGATTCCTGTTCCTTCAGCAAACTGAATGAGTTCTTGAAGTTAAATGTGACCATGCCTTACTGAAGACACGGTTCTTTGGGTAAATCCAATATCTTGTAGTAGGCCAACTTAAATGGTTGGAAAAAAATCTCTTTAATTAATAAGGCCATGCCTTATGGTCACTCTCTCCTGCTCCTTGCCCTATTCTGGATTTTGCTTAGTATAATCTAGAACAGATCCTGTACTAAAAAAAAAAATCAGGACTCCTGTAGGATACCACCCTGCGCTTAGCCTGTTTAGCCTCTTCTGTTCCTAGATTTGAGAACTTCAGTTCAACTTTTGATTGCATCCTCCATCTGCTAGGCTCCCCATGCACAATGCAAAATTTCTGGGGTATATGTTCCAGGGCTCAATATGTTTAATTAAAAATGGATACCAGAATGCAACAAGAGGGAGCAACCACTGTCACAAAACATGGTTTGCCAACTGAACAGAAGCCTGGCAACTAACATTCCTCCTATTTTTCTCACTGCAGACAGTAACTGTGTCCAACAAACAAGCAGGGTTTTTTGGCCTTTTCCTAAAGGATTTTCCTCAAGGCAGTGAGATATTGTGAGTGTGATATGAAGAGTATCAAGAGAAGGGGGAGTCAAAAATATACAGAAGCATTTGTTTCACAAGGTTATCACATACTAGCTAAAATTACTTAGCAGTTGTAGACAGAACCGTTTCTACCGGAAACTGCAGTTTTGTCAAAAAAATCTAAGTGTTTTGTGAGTATGCGTCAGTTTCTATGACACTTCTGACAGCCAAGTGTCTAAACAAATCATTTTAACTTCCTTGTTTTGTTTCAATCCGGTAAAAATTCTTCTTTTTGGCTCTATCCTTTTTTGGTGTTTATACTATTACATTTATTATAGATCTATATTTCATATTTTTGTATATTTATATTATACAATTTCACCTTTATTGAGATCATTTCTGGTATTACAGTGAAATGGTTGTGTTTCAGGTTAGGTTTTTAAATTTCTCTTACATGAAAATTTAATTTCCCATTCCAGTTGGAGGGAAAACACATTTCAGAACGTCAGAGTTTTCCATGGGACAAAACCTCAGCTCAAATGCTACATTATTCTCAAGATCTCATGTTGATTATCAAGTTTGCATTAGCCATATTATAAACCTTGGGTGCATGAAGCAGCAATAGTATTATCTGCAGCTTGTAAAAGGCTGGTCACTATAAGAAACTGAAATGTTATACACAGGTGTACAGCGATTTAGATACGGAATAGGGGAGCTCTGCGTGTACCCCTGTTCACCCACTGAAATTTAAGGTGTTAAATCAGCTGTCAGTTGGTCAGGTTCTTTACTATTCCACCTGTGAAGTAGCTGCCAAAGGATATAGCTGTTATATCAATCCCCAACCTGAAATTTTTCTAGACAGAAATACTCTTATGTAAGAAGGAATGCCCAGAGAAGTTTACCGAACCCATAGATTTCTCTAGACAGCATTATTGCTGCTAGGTGCAGCTGGCAAGAGCCTCCTTGTACCCTTTTAGTCTACGTTCTGCCCAACTCCATCACTCAGAAGCAGTCTTCTGGACACTATATGGGGCCAGGGCCGTGCCATTCTTTATAGCCATGACTTCGTAGGGTTACAGGGTGCTACCCTTCACACAACACTTGCTACCATTATAACCGCCCATAAATGGCCCACTTCTCCTCCGATTCTCAAGAAGATCTCTCATCTTCTTTATCCTGTTCCCTTGCTGCCACTACATCCTTCAAGCCACTGTCCACTGACATCTTTGACATGGGGAATTGGAAAGGTCATGGATGTAGGTGAGGAAGACATGCAGGCTTCAGCCCCACTTGACAGCACAGTCCTCCCACCACACCACTGAAGTGCCATACAGCACTCTAGACAGCATACGCCTGGTAAACTGAAATGC